TTTTTAAGATTAGTAGGTTTTTGTACTGTCATTTTCCTGGCTTCTTGAAATCATTCATAGATTTATCTGAGTTATTTTAAGAAATCCTGTTGTTTTCTGCAGAATGTAAAGGTCTTAGGTCAAAATATTAAAGTAAAGTTATATGCCATAAAATGGCGAATTTGTCATTATCCTGGCTGTCATTTTCCTGGCTTATGAATGCCAGAACATTGAAGTGTTANTTTTTTTAACTGCTAATACTGTAAGGAGGAAAAGCAAATAGTATTAACTTAATACCAAGTTTATGTATGATTGTAATATGGTTGGATGCAAACAAAGTTATTTATTTATTTAATGATTGATTATTATACACAATTTTATTCTGTACATATCAGCAACAACAAAAAAATTTTTATTCTTTCTACAGTGGATAAAAAGAATTAATTTGAGCAATTTATGGTCCATCTAACATAAAGGCTTATGTTGAGTTACTTACTATTAACTTTAAAATGACTGTTTTTTAAACTTCTAAGCCAATATGTCATTTTCTGGCATTCAAGATTTGGTGAATTTCTATTTTATTTCTTTTCTCGAGCAAATGTCAATAAACTACACTGCTGTCTGTAAGATATTAATAAATGTGACTAAAGAAGTATACAAAAAAAAATTTAGATTATTTTGAAGACTAAATTTGAAGAAATTTTTTGGTCCGAAATGTCATGTTTAAAAAGAGTGATTCTTTTTATATANATATATATTGGTCGCTTTTACAAAGTGGTAGTAAAAGAAAAAGTAAATTTGGAACGATTTTTAAATAATTAAACTAATAAAAAACATTTAAGACCTAAGTAAGCTTACAAATAGATCATATTTACATATTTTTTAGATATTGATTTGTCATGGTAGATTGAAATTGTTGGTAGGTTGAAAGATTTAATACGTCAAACTGCTATAATGTTGCTATTACAAAGAAGTTTTTTTTATCAACAGCCGTACAAGTTCGCAGCTATATATATTTATATTCTAAATGTTTAAATTTAAATTTCGAGAAAAATTAATAATGAAAATTTTTTATGTTTACTTTCATCTTATTTACTGAATACCTAACTAGTCAAGTAATGAATAATTTCGGAGGGGGTTTTGTCCCCCAAAACTACGCCACTGACTTCAGCATTTAAAAAAGCTGTTTAAAACAGAAAAAACAATGAAATTGTGAATAAAGATTTAAAGTTTCTTGGGCTCATTTCATACTAATAGTTAACTTGTCATTTTATGATTAGTTTTTCTAGACATTTTGTAAAAGGTTCTTAAATAAAAATTTAAATTTTGCAAATTTGTTAAAATAAGGCTCAAATTTGTGGAAAAAAATATAAAAACTAGGGATGTAATGAATATTTGGCCACTAATCGACCATTTCGTCATATATTTGGACAAATATTCAACTGAATAAAGTATTGTTTGAAAAATTATTTTCCAACAGTTTTTTGGGGGGGAAATTTTAGCAGATTTAATAAAGAGTTATCTCAAATCTTATTTTTAATGGTACATTATTAGAAATAGTTTTTACACATATTTGTTAAATTCTTAAACTTGTTAATTTATGTTCTGAAAGACACATGGAAAAGAGAAATATGAAGAATTGAAACTAGATTACATAATATTAAACCATTCTTTTTTAATGCTGATTTTTTTCTTTTTTTAAATTATATTCAGTCAAGTTAATTTATCGTTTTTGCAACACTTTATATTTTAAAAATTTAAAACTTTTAAATTTTTGTTTGTTTTTCTGTCTTAACTAAAGCGAAGCATGTTAATGAAGTGCTTCTAATAGAATTTATTCTCTTATTGTCATTTATTCCTTGCATGGTAAAACAGATAACTGCTAACATAGAATACTATGATTCTCAACGTTAAAAGTATATTTCAGAATTAAGAAAGAAAAAAATTTTCTGTTTCTCTTTTGATTTTTTTGAATTAACTTTTCCTTTTATCAGAACTTTTATTATGACAGCATTTTTCAAAGAGTGCATCTAATGAAAAATACACTTTTATAGTCACTTTTTTCTAAAAATATAGCAATGTGAAAAAGTTACATTAAAATTTTTGCTGTTAAATCTATTGTTTAAAAGTTAAGAACGATTTTTGTTTTGGTTTCTACCTAGCTTTTTCTTTTTCAAAAAACTTATGTTTTTATAGACGTTTTAATTATGACAGGGCAATTAGGACAAGAGGGTCTTTATTTGACTTTATCTTTATTTTTTTTGAAAATATGGTAAATAGAAAGTGGAAATGCTTAACTTTAAAATTTTCATTCAATAATTAATACAGATTTTTAATTTTTCTGTTTTTCTTTTGACCATAATCTTTGTTTTTAAAAGCATTCCTGATTGACATAATTGTTTTCTGGATAATATTTTAAGCATTAAAGTTTTAATTTAAGAATTAAGAGGATATTTTTTTCTAGATTCCTTTTTTTTTAATTTTACAACTTTTTTAATAACTGTCAGTTTTTTTTTATCTTAAATATTTCTAAGCATATCTTAATATCTAATTATCTTAATTATCCTAAACATTTCTATTAAAGTTTTTCCTTTTTCCCCATACAAATAATACAGCTAAGTTTTAATTACTTTTTTATTATGACTAAACTAATTTCTATATAAAAATATTTATTAATGATTATTTTAAAAAAATATTGCTATTCGGCCGCCAAATATTCGATAGTCATCTATTTAGCCAAATCACTATTCGTTACATCTCTAATAAAAACTTGACTTATTATATTGTTAAATTTCTTTTTAATTTGTGAAAATATGGTATTGTTTTTGAGATGTCTTTCAAAAAGTTGAAATTCTGAAGTAGCGATGTCATTGACTTTTTATAAAACAAAAAATAAAAAATTTTGAAGGTTACATTTTCTGAAGGGTTTATTTCACAGATCAAAAAAATTCTGTGAATAAAAAATTTGTGAATTTTCCCTAAAATGACCCCTGATAATTAAGTAAAAATAATATCTCTGTAAAATCATATTTTGAAATACCTTCAGCAATATCTAAAATTAGTTATGAGTGATCACTTTTAAAATGAACTGAATACAGATAAGTGTTTTGTAATTACGATCATAATAAGTATCCAATAATTTGTTAATTCAATTATAAAAATTAATTTTAATTAATTTGTTAATTCAATTATAACAATATTCAAATGCTTCTTTAAATAATAATAAAACTAGGCTCAACTATACTTCTTGATATAAAACATTAAAAGAAATTGTTTCAAGTTCTTAAATTCCTCAAATTTTTTTTAAAATTGTATTTCTTTAGTTTTCATGAAATTGGAAAAAAATAATGAATTCAATTGCTTGAAAATTAATACTATTAAACTAGATTACAGTTATTACATGATTGTGTTAGCATAAATAATGTCAATACAAGATTTTCATTTTTAAAAATGTTTCTTCCATTAGAATTGGAAATCTATTCTGGGGCTATAATTTTTATTCCATAATTTTTCTCACAGTGGAATAAATTTATCATCCCTGATGTAAATATATTTTATAGTTGAAAATAACTAATTCTATAATAAATTGATTTTTTTTTTTTTGCCAACTCTACCAACTATTATTTTTTTTGTGTAGATTCATTAAATGTCATATCTGCAAGAAATTAGTAAAGAGTTTGCACAATCTTAAACAATCATCCATTATACATACTTTATAATTATTTTATTCCTTTAATATTTAAGTACTCAAACAGTCTAGAATAAGATTTTAATTTTTCATGAGTTTTGTGAAGCTAAATATCACTCAACAAAGGAACATGAATTTTAAAATGGATGTGGACTACAATCTGAAAACATCTGCCAAAATACGAAAGTCTCAAAAATCTGATTTTAGAATGTTGGGAATTTCAAATAATTTGTTTACAGTATTAGCACATGTTTCTTTCTAAATAAATATTGAAATATAAGAGTTACATAGAAATTAAATTAACAAGTGAGGTAATTAATAAGCTATAAAAGTGAGGCAATAATATATAGTAGCATAGCTATAAAAAAGTCACATTTTAAACTATGTATAAATTAAACTTCCTTAAATATTCTAACACAGATTCAAATTTTAAAGCCTTCAATCAAGATTTACTTGACTTATTTATCATTGAAAATATTTAAGGATTAGGATTGTGTACTTCAGATAAGCACATGCAAGAGACTTAAGAAATACAAAATAATTATAAACATTTTACAAAAACATCTTTTTAATACAAAAAAAGGAGTTAATAGTAAATACTGTGTTATTTCTACAGAATAAAATATATTTGAACTCAAAATTTCGCATCCACCATCAAAATAAATCTATTATGTTCATTGAAAAAAATTTAAAAAATGAAGACATATAGGTATTAAATAAATTTCTATTTTCCAATTATGTAATTAAACTTTCATATATTCAATAAAATAAATTTCAATTCTGTTCATAATTTAAAAAGAATAAAGAGGTAACATCTTATTAGAAGAAATCTTAAGATATTATATTTCCATTTGCCACCTGTACAATGAAACTTTAAATAAATCCTCACATATTCATGAAAACAAATTTTAAATCTATTCATAATTTAAAAAGAAAAATTATAATAGCAATCTTATTACATAAAAAAATGTTCACTTAAATTTCAAGTAAACATTTACATATTCATCAAAATAAAACTGCATTCTGTTTATACTTAAAAATGCTAATTATAAACTTATTAAAAATTTTTCATTATATGTCCACACATTCATAATAATAAATCTTCATAGCATTTATAATTTAAAAAGAATAAAAAGTTATATTAAAAATACATTAACATCTCAAAGAAAACTTAAAGATTAAATAAATAATAAATTTCTATTTGCAAATTATACAATTAAGATTAAAATAAATGCTTAGATATAGCATAAAGTAAAATTCTATTTTAAAATAATATAAGCACATTTTATACGAAAATATATAATTTTAATAATAATAAAATAAGAAGTCTGACCTTTTTATTTCTTGTTTCTAAGAAAGAGCCTCTACCAACTTTGACATTTTCTCCAGCAAACACAATCCCAGAAATAAGAGGAAGATCAGCTCCTATATCCATCTCATCCCAATCTTCTTCATCATTATGGTCATCTTCCGGAAGAATTCCGTTGACACGGGGCGGAGATCCGGTACGCTTGGAGCCGGAATTTCGGGAAATTTTTGCCGGTCGACATCCAAAAGGTGCTGGATTAAGAGATATGTGCGGCTCCACATCTTTACGCCCTCGAAAATCAAAAACAATGGAGGTAGTAGGCTGGGGAGTTTTTTGCCAAGACTTTTTCTGGGGGTCCTCTCCAGCAACGACCATCACTGTCTGGTCACCCGTCGTAATGCTGGATTCTTGAGACAATGAGTCGGATTGTTTATGAGACAACTCGAAAGGTAAGCGCTCGGGCGTGACCTTGTTAGGTGGATCAGGATCCGAGGAATAGAACTGACAATCGTTTTCTTCTAAAAGGTCGCTGGTTTCTTGCGCAATTTCGGATTCACATGACCTATTAGCTGATAAATCATTATCAACTATTTCATTTATCACGAATTCGTCATATTTCTCCTCTTCAGGCACAGGTGAAGAAGGCGCGGCATTGTTTACATTACAAAAATCTTTGGCACACGTTGCTTTGGCATCCTCCACACTTTTCTTGACCGCTGGCCAAGCTACACTTTCGATTATGGCACTATCATTGCAGACTGCGTGAGTAGCAGGGGTCGTCGTACTTTTACGAAAACGCGGAGTTAAACTGCTGATTGTAGTTTTCGCGGAATTATTCCCAAGTGGTGATTCGAATATTTTTTTCACGTGCTTTACCGTGTCTGGTTTTGGAAGCTCGTCTTCGTTGATGTTCGGGGCTGAAACACTTCTTCCGTATTCCCATCGGCGTGTGGATTTATTAAATACCCTCGGTAATGTATCATTTTCGTCAGTGGGAGTTGCATTTTTTGACAAAATTCTTACTTTAGCACCAACAACTAGGCGAGCATTTGGTCGACGGCTTGAAGAAAATATATGTTGCTCAGGTGTCGTGCAACTCAAAGTTTCCATACTTTGCGCTTTCTTGACGTTGCCCGCACTGAATCCAGATTTAAAACCGTTCTGGCGAATCCCTCTAGTATTAACTCTGTAGGGAATTCCAGGAAGATTCTCTAAACTGGAAAACCTTCGTACTACTGGTTTCACCTGTTGTTTAACACCGATATTGAGAAATCTTGCCCGTAATCGGTCCACAATACCTGGACCATACCGTAAATCTTCCGAGAATTGCTCAGCTTCATCAAAATTATAATTATTTTTTTCCTCCACCAAAGAATTTGGAGTATCAACAGGCTTCACACTTCTTAATTCAATATTAATACTTCCAATTTTAACGGTTTTAGGATGATCCGTCACTTTTGATTTGTTGTTATCTTCACAAAAACCATCTGGCTCAGAAGCAGGGCTACACCCAGCACGCTTTTTCATGATTAAGATTTTTTTCCACTCAGGAATATCACAATCCGGCACATTTCCACCGTACATGATTATTTGGTATCCTTTTTCCTGTTTAGATTTTGTTATCAATTTCCTCTACGCTCTCGTCTTTTTTTTAATTTTTATCATTTTATTTTTAACGTCACTCATATTCTTTCACGAACAGCTCCATTCAAAAATATGTAAACAAGCCAATCATTGGATAACTTACCCGGTAGACTTAGTCATCAGTACACGGAGTCATTTCGACAGCTAAAATATTTCCCCGCAACGCCCCACATAACAGCCGGGAAATACATAAACGCTGTAATGAATCTAGTTAAATACTTCCGAAGTAAAGTAGTGGTTGTTGTTCGGTCATTCCAAAGCAATATTGAAACAGTAAATATTAGGCAACAGATGTTATGCGACCGTTTCTAAAGCGCCTACTTAAATGCATGGCAAACACGTGGTGAATCAAAGATTTGAAACTTGTTATGATAATTTTCATTAACTTGAACGATGATTGTTCGTCCATCGATGAAACAAGAACGCCGCGCCTGACATCTTGACCACATGAACAAAACGTCACGTTCATTAAACAGAAAAGAATTTTTGAGGTATACAATACGTGGCGCCATCTCTTTTATTTTGCCGTATTTACTACCTCATGCAGAAAAAAAAAAAATCTACAATCAGAGAAATATTTTTATTGCTTATGTGGTTGCGTAGATAATGCGGTTTTTTAAATTTAATTCTTTATATTATCACGAGTGCATAATTTGCTTTTTCAAAGTCTTTTAGGTAGAGTTTTTCAAGAAAAAATTTAGTTGATAATTACGAATTGATTTTATAGAAATTAGATTAATAATTGTCAACGCAAGTTTTAAAGAAACGAAGAAAAAAAAATCAGACACATTAAATGCTTGATTTTTAAAACTGACATTAATGAATAAAAAGTTATCTTTTCATTTTAATCAATAATAAATTTTTTGCTTTAAAATGAACTCAATTTTTCGTAAGCAATTATCCTGCTTTAAATAAAGTCAATTAGGAGAGTGTATTAGCAAGCATATTTTTTTAAAAATATTAAATAAAAAAATCAGCTGCTTGAAGTTTTGATTAAAATTCCATTACTAAAATTTTAATCTTTAAAACAATTCCCTATAAATTTTGTTTCAAAAAAAGGAATAATAATTTAAAAAAGAAAGCTGGAAATCATTAAAAATATTTTAAATAGAAATATTTCATTCATTAAAAATTATAAATTTTTTAGAGCTCATTTATAAGTAGTACAAAAAGTAAATTTACTTATTTTATTTTAGGAAACACATATTTTTTCTATTTTATATTAATTACATTGTAGTATATTTTTCCATATTACTATAATATATATAATCTATCTTTTTTTAGTGTGAATATAAAACAATTTTTTTTTAATATTACTTTTTTTTAAAATCTGCTTATTTGAGGATTTTTACTTTTTATTAAATCTAGTAATAGTAAACCTTGAAGCAGGAATGTGTGTGAGTCAAGTGTGTACGTGAGTCAAAATGAGTCTTAATGGGTAAAACCCTGATAATTGTCCTGGCGGCGCACCGTTCTAAGCAAAATACTATTAAAGAAAAGGAAAAAAAAAAAAAAAAAGAACAGCTTGAAACTGCTAATATTTTTTTAAGTCAGATTTTTTTTCTTCGTATCTACGGGAATTAAAATTAAACGAAAATTAAAATTTGAATCAACAAGGATTTCTTTTTTCTCTCTCTCCTTTTAACAATTTTAAAATAAAGTTATGTGAAAGAATTAGAGAGCATTATTTAAATTTTCCAATTTAAAACAGCAGAGAGGATGGGGTTAATTCGGCAACGGCCCCAGAAGGGATTCAAAATAATGCACTTCTTTTCATGTGTTTTACCTCCCATAGAATTTTTGAGAATCCCCCTCATATTACTCAATAGGAAAATGTTTCGATAAATTGTCTCTGTGTCTTATCTATTGCTTTGAGCTCGTTTTTCCCTCCATTTATAATATTTCAAAATATTAGATATCCACGGAACCAATTCTTTGCCCGATTTACTGTCATAAATTGCCTCAGGCAAAAAATGATCAAGAATTTCTAAGACTATAGATATTTTAACCTAAGACTGTAGACATGTTTACATAAAAAAGAAGAAGAAAAATTCTGTTGGCATTTTTTTCGGTCATTCTATTTCAGTCATTGAAAAAGCGCTACCTCATTTATTTTTTTTTTTTTCAACTTTTCAGAGTGAAATTTAACATTTTCTATTCAAAAACTTAGTTTCTAGGTTCTTTTTTTTTAAAAAAGAAAAAAAAAGAAATTTGTTTTATTTGATTTTGTTATTAAGTATTTTAACTCAAACTATAAATTTTTTATTTTTTTATCATGCGTTTTGCATTTTATTTGCAATAGTTTTTGTTCGCATTGCCTCAAACAAAGAATGATCTATAATTTCTAAGACTACAAATATATTAATCTTTTAAAGACATAAAAAAATTATATTTAGCGTTTTTTTTTTTTTTTCCAGTCATTCTGTCTAGGGTCAGTCATTGAAAATCACTACCTCATTTATTATTATTTTTTTCAACTTTTCAATGTGAAATTTAACATTTTCAATTTAAAAACTTAGTTTAAAAAAAAAAGGAATTTCTTTTATTTGATTTTGTTATCAAGTGTTTTAACTGAAACTATTGATTTTTTTATTTATTTATTTATCATGCGTTTTACAGTTTATTTGCAATAGTCTTTGTTCGCATTGCCTCAAACAAAGAATGATCTAGAATTTCTAAGACTACAAATACATTAACCTTTTAGAGACATAAAAAATTCTGTTTAGCGTTTTTTTCGGTCATTCTGTCTAGAGTCAATCTCTAGGTCAGTCATTGAAAAAGCGCTTCCTCATTTATTTATTTTTATTTGTTTATTTATTTATTTATTCTTTGAATGTAAAATTTAACTTTTTCAATTCAAAACCTTAGTTTTAAGGTTCTTTTTTTATAGAAAAAATTAATTGGGAGTTTAAAAAAAATGAATTTTTTTGAATGTAAAATTTAACATTTTCATTTCAAAACCTTAGTTTTAAGGTTCTTTTTTTTCTAGAAAAAAAAAAGAAGTTTCTTTTATTTGATTTTGTTATTAAGTATTTTAGCTGAAACTATAATTTATTCTTTTTTTTATCATGCGTTTTACAGTTTATTTGCAATAGTTTTTGTTCGCATTGCCTCAAACAAAGAATCATCTAGAATTTCTAAAACTACAGATATATTAACCTTTTAAGGACATAAAAAATTTCAATTGGCGTTTTTTCTGTCATTCTGTCTACAGTCAGTCTCTGGGTCAGTCATTGAAAAAGTGCTACATCATTTATATATTTTTTTCCAACTTTTCAATATAAAATTAAAAACTTTCAATTCAAAACCTTAGCTTTAAAGTTCTTAAAGTTTCTTAAATAAAATTATCAATTTTTAAATTTTTTTTTTATCTTATTATATACTAGACATTTCAAACAAATTGATTTATTTGGAGGTAAGCAAATATTCGTATTAATTCAATATGTGCATTTATATTTGTATGAATTATTTGTATTGTGCAACAAATTGATTTATATAGTAAGTATGATTTTATTGTACTTGGATGGTCCTATTTTTAGTTTCAGATTTTTGTACTTATTTCATATTTTTAAAAGTAGACTTTTAAAATTTAAACTCCTTTGTTATAATTCAAAAATGAAATGTTTATATCACTTTTAATTAATACTAAAGCATAATAAATTAATATTAGTTATATTAAGCTATATTTTATTAGCTAATATTAGCATTAATAAATAGCTGAGAATATGTCGTCATTCAAATATGTCATCATTCTAATATATCATCAATCATCATATTTCATCATTGATTCTAGTATAAATGAACATCTTAAAGTAAAATTATTTTGAGTCAATTAAAACTATATTTATTTAAACTAGTCTGATATACATTTGTCCGGTATACCCTACTATGTAAAGTAACTACACAGATAGAGTGCCAATTGGGACAATACCTTAAAAATTAAAAGATAGAAAGGGGCGAAGAAATGGTTCTAATACAAAAGTTCATTAAATAATATTATAATACCATTAATATAAATTTCACTATTTGCATATTTCGTTATATATCGAGAACTTATTAAGCAGATCGATTTTGAATTCATTTATTCAAAGATAATTCCATGCAAGGGATAATTGTAAATTATTTTTATTATTTTAGATTATAAAAATTCTCAGAATAATAATTATAATAATAAACAATAATTTTCTCAGAAACTGTTGGGTCGATTTCTTCCAAATTTTTTCTTGTATTTTGCCATATAAAATAATATTCTTTAAAATGATGCAGAAGTTGCGTACTATTAGATACAAATTCAATTATAAATTCATCACAAATTCAATTTAATGGTAAAAAAAAATGTTATTGTAATTCAAAACTTTTTCGTCCATTATTAAATAAAATATAAAAAAAATTATAACAATTTTTTTTTGTACGGAATTCTGTCTGAGTGAAGGAATTTTATAACTGTAGTCAGACATATTTCGTTTAAAAAGTTGTTGGGATATAGCTGAAAAAGTAAAATTATCAATAAACTTTTTACCATTCTCCTGAGCAATTTATTGGGACCACATTTTCCAGATTGCTTCAAATATTTTGGGATACAAATCCATGGGAAAAAAGTAAGGTGAGACAGGGTATCGAAATTAGTTCTGCCTTGTACCGGACGAACTCTGAATTTACATTTTACTAGTCAAGAAAAAAGACGTATTAAATTGGAGTGTTGTAGATAATTTCACAACGTTTGTGTAGATTTGTTTGTTTTTTTATTTATTTTTACTATGTCAGCTCTCTACTGTTTTCTTGTTTTAAAACTATCTTAATTTATTAGTCTTTGCAGTTACAAAAATTTTTTTAGTCCTTATTATTATACGTTTATTAAAGATCCATACCTTGACAAACCATGATTTAGTCCAATACTACCCCTTGTACCAATACTAGCCCATGATTTAGTCCAATTCTAGTTCTTGGGGTAACATCGGGTACTAACTACCCAGTTTTGCCCCCTCTGATGTGAGTCTATGCTGAACCCACGAAAGCTGTAATGTAACGGAAAATAGTTACATCCATGGATGACGTTTTAAAGCCGTTGCACCTTTTTTTCCCACTGTATTATATATTTGTTTTCAAAGCTCTAAATTATAGAATTAGTTAACATGTGTTTTAAATGACATTTGTAAGAATAACAACAACAATATACAACTACGACTTGTGTGATGGGAAAGCTTAACAGTTTACTTTATCGTAGGTGGCCGAATATAAAACGAGTAAAATACAAGTGCATTTCTTTTTTTTACTGAGAATTCAAAACTGACCTTTCGATTTTTCACTACGATTGAAAGTCATAGTAGCTATGGGGATGGCTGATGAATTCTGCACTCGGCTTGCACCATCCACAATGCTGACGTAAAATATCCTCTGTGGTAGACGGATCATAGGTTAGAATCCCTTGCCGTTAGGCTAACCGTGGGAGGTCTCCGTGGTTTT